TATATATATATAAGTTTGACCGATGATTGAATCGAGAGTGAGCGACGGGGCGAAAGATGGCCGGGGTGTAGTGGGGTCCGGCTGTTGGGGTTGCTCCTCGGGTGATCGGTGACGGAGATGGCCGTGGGCGCAGATGCTTGTTGAGGCGGTGCTCCTCGTGGCGGTGGTCCTCCAGGTGCCGGGGACCTCGCGAGCCGTGCATCACCGTGCCCCCTGCAGGATGGCCAAGCTGCAGCGCGACTGCGAGGCTCTGTGCAACTATGACCCCCGGGGCGTGGCCACCAGCTGCGAGGTGTTTTTTCTCGCTCTCTCTCGTATACATACACGAACGATTCTTCGTTTATCGGCAAATTACGTTTTGTTTTTGTTGCAGCTCAGGGCCGCGGTGCTGCTGCCCGACGATCCCAGATACGAGATATCCCTCGGCGCCGTCATGCCTGTCTTGGGTCGGTATACACATTAAATATATTATAATATATATACAGTGGTGTTGTTGTTTTGCGCGTATACATACATACATATTTATATATATGTGGCTCGGTTGTTTCAGAGATGGGGGTGGCAGAGGCGAGATCGTTGGGTCTCCTGCCCCCGTGGCTGAAGCTCAAGTTCATCCCGCAGGACGACGATTGCGACGCGACTTACGCCCAAATCGGGGCGCTCGACAGCTTCTCCAAGTGCGTGCACGTCTTTTTCGGGCCCACGTGCGACTACTGCGTCGGTGAGAGTTTTTGTTTGTTTCCCCCAACTTACTCTTCGGGGCTTGTATATGTATATATATATATTATAATATATACATGTATTGACACTGGCGGTTCGTAGCGAGCGTTGGCAGGATCAGCAAGTTCCTGGGCGCCCCGCTGATCACCACCGGTGGCTTCACCTTCGACTTCACCGAGAGAAAGGCCGACTGCCGGGACGAGTACTTTATGACCGTGAGGGTCGGCATGCTCGCCTTTCGCGACGTCGCCCTCTTCCTCATCGACCTCATGGACTGGTGAGCTATATACGCGCACACCCGTATAACACAGCTTCACGTACGGGTTGCCGATTTTTACTTCCCCTCTCTCGGAACGATCCAACCGAGCGGCGCTTACTTTTATCTTTCATTCACTGCACTCTCCGAGTAAACAATAATCAATGCCAGCGCATGCAATGCATATATTGCATATAGTCGAGAAACGACGATGATCTATATCGATCGGGGGCTTCTTCTTTTTTTCTTCTTTTTTTCTTTTTTTTTTTTAATTTCAACATCGGACAAGTCACGCCGATTGCGATCGCTACGAATGTGTATATATTATAATCGCGGTTCCATGCTCTATATACGTATGAGGATGCATATAATTATATATAAGTATACGCGTGTTGTGGTCCTCGTGAAAAGGCATCGTTGGAAGAAAGTGCACCTGCTGTACGACACGAACGGCCAGGCGAAGCTGGGAGGCCGTCACACCTGCCAGCTGATGATGAAGTCGATGGTCGAGTTCGTGAAGAAGAGGCCGGACCTATCCTTCGGGACGTACGACGTCGACGCCATGCCGACCGACGATTACCCGTGGATGCTCAGGGAACACGTCGGGGTCACCTACAGCGGTGAGTACATGCGTGTATATTATGCAATGTTCAAACCACACCTCGACAGACTCGGAGCCCAAAAGGATGATTTTTTTTTTTTTTTTTTTTCCCCCTCTCGTATCTCTCTCTCTTTCTTCGACAACACCGCGATAAATACAAGAGAGCCATTAGCTCGAGATTAAATTTTTCCCCGGCTCTTCTTTGAGTACAACGAAGGGGATCGGGTGTGGACGCGAGAGACAATAAAAGCGCCGTTCGATCGCCCCCCCCCACGCGCGTATACAAGTGTTGCAGGGGATACGGCAATAAAGGGTGGCCACAATAAAAAGTCACGGTATAAGGGGGGGGGGGGTAGAGGTGACGAGGAAGATGGCAAAGGGATGACGAGGGTGGAAATGGGCACTTTTGTACCCTATACGTATTACGTACACACAGAGAGAGAGGGGGAACTTGAGAGGCACGTGGGTGGGTGGGATGACAGATTACTTACCTGATGGCGACGACGTTTTCATTAGCCGCTATTTCTGGTGCACGTTTGCCCTGCACCCCCACCCCTTTCGGAGTATCCGTATATGATAGGTATGTGTGTATATCCGTGGCAGTGGATGACCGGGGGAGACAAACATTTTCACGAGCTTCGTGGTAATCGCGATATCGACTTTTTCTTTTATTTATTTTTTTTCTCCTCCTCCTCCTCCCCATGGAGTTAGGAATTTGTCGTATTTGAATTTTAATTTTAATCGTTATATCGTTTCGGCTTACGGGTGGACATTGGCAATCGGGAGGTTAATGTACGTGCACGCGATTGAGGTGATTTGCGTTTTTTTTTTATCGGTGAAAAATAAAGAAAATAATAACGCGTACATTTCCGGGCGTCGAGTGAATTTTTATATCAAGTGTGCCAGTAGGTTAACAGCCGGTTGGAATTATTAATATTTTTTTTTTTTTTTCCTCACCGCAAAATCTGATAGCTGGAGATTCAAGTGGAGCCGAGAAAATGCAGCTTTTTATTCGTCTCTTGAGATGGAAGGAGTATAATATTTTTCTGCTTTAAGAGTAGATGCGAAGCTCTTGAAAACAAATTTAATAAACAATTTTAACTGTTGAATAATTTTCGGGGAGAAAGTTTGAAAAAAGAAGAAGAAAAAAAAAACTTTACTTTTGTTATACTTTTAATTATACATTTCGTGAAAAAACGTAAAATCCATAATTTTATTGGCTTTGCGTTTATTATTAAAGCTGTGCATTTGAAATACATCATTTTTTCCACTTTCATTTCGATAATCGCTCCTAAAGTCGTAGATAAGGCGATATATAAATAAACTGACGCGTATACTTTCACACTTATTGAAAATCCCGCATTCAAAGTCCATCCGCTCACGTATAAAAATACTTTGTCCCCGACATAAAGATAAACTATGGTAAATTTCTTTTGCCAAGGACTTTTTCGGATAAACACTAAGACATGTGAAAAAGAAATTTTTAATCATAGATTGCCGTTAATAAAACAAAGTTAAAATGCATCAAGCCATTCAAGTTCATTCAACTTATCTTAATTGCGCACGTGTAAAAAACAAAAAACGGCATTTACGAGCTTTGCAAGCTGTTTTATCCATACCCTTCAAAAAAATTTAAATGACATTAAAAAAACTAACGTATGTTGCTGTACTTTTGCACAATTTTCGTTTGTACATTTCAAAGTATACCTTATCATGTATTTAATGTAATGAGCTATTCGGTGAACTTAAGAAGCATAAAACGTTGTGCAGCCTTGGGTGTCACACAAAGTTGGAAATCGGGAAGCTCATTGTATCTTGATTGCGCTTCCAAAGCAACGTGCACGCACATAGTCATATCTTGTACGCGGGAATGAGAAATTGTCTGCCGAGAGAAAGTTGTACGTCAGAACTCGAGCTCTAGCGTTGCGAAAATTTCTATACTCAGCATAAAAATGTGTATATTGTACATCGTAAGTTTTGTGCCGTATATATACCTATACGTGGCGTGGTGTCTGACCATTGGTGGGGTTTTACTACTGAATCCTTGGAACTTTTACGACATTAGAGCCAAGTCAATCGGTAAGCACGAAGTATCGACGAAAACTACAACCGAGGCGTCACATATACTACATACTTGCTGTAATACCGAGTATGATGTCATAATGCAATGTCCTTGTAAGCATTACCCTTGAAACAAAATTCCTCCATATGGCTCGTCGCACGTGAATATTATTCCAATCTTAACGAGCTATGGTACAATAAAGCTGCACAATATATATATATGTACGTATACACGAGAGATCGGAAAAAAAAGACAATGCAAGCCAAAAGAAAGAGATGAGTCAAACGTCGAGGGATAAGCGGAGACACCTTATAGGCCAGAGTTTTGAGGAATTGTATACGGAGATCGAGGTGTAGTCCATCCTTCGGACCGATGCTTTGCGTTTCGAGGATATATGCGTATTTTAAATGTAAAAGCTTTTCCCGCTCGTGCCTTCTTTTTTGTAGCGGATCCAATAAAAAAAAAAAAAAAAAAAAAAAAAAAAACCGCCCACTCATCGAAAAGCTCGACGCAGCTCGAAACGTATCCTTGATCGAAACTGTATATTATATCGAGAGGGAGAGTTTAGTTTCATTGGAACAACACCCACCCCCGTAAACTCGTCGACTCGTAGTTTGCATTTCTAGATGACAGATCGAGGAGTAGGAGGCGAACCATTTGCTTGCTAAACTCAATTAGCGCGACGCAAAAGTAATATTAGTTGGGTTCGTGGGTGAAACTTGTGCCGTGTACGGGTGACGCGAGCCCGATTAGATTATCGCGGATGGATGCGCGCGAGTATTATTATATACACGAGCCGAGACGCGGAGGTGCTCTTCCATATATATACGAAACAATTTTCTTCCGGTAATTACGGGATTCCCCGTGAAAAGATTAGGTGCGTGCAGTGTGTGTATGAAAAAAAAGGGGGTATATATAAGGCAAAAGAGAAAAAAAAGAAAAAACTGTCGGCGAGGCGAGCACGAGCGCGGCGGAGTAACATTATCACCGCCGTAGAATTTGCGAGGAAAGCCGGGCCGGGTAGGGGAAGGAATTGCGAAACTGTCGGAAGCGGGTGAGGTGTATGTATAGGATCGAGGATGCGCAAAAGCCAGGCTGGCCCGTCCAAGTTGACGATGAAAGGTAAAAGAGCAAAGTAACGAGAAAGGAAGCTGGGGGGGGGGTGGTCCAGAGTTGAAATGAAAAAAAAANAAAAAAAAAAAAAAAAAAAAAAAAAAGGGTTTGCTTAATAACAAGATACTGTTCCTCCACTTTGGTTACGACAAGCGTGTAAAAACATCGAGAACAACCACCACAATAACGAAGCTGCAGGCTAAGCTGGCTAGCAAAGCTAGACGCGGAGAAATGCAACACCGACAACATCCCCTTTTGGCAGCGAGTATAAAAAAAAAAAAAAAAGGGTTTGGGTGTATATGGGCGAATTTAGGGAGTGGCAGGCGAGGAACCAGCCAGCCTGCAGCCATCTGACCAGGATCAGGGGGGGAAAAAGGATGTGTATGTATATATATATGTGTGCACGGGTAGAGAGGTGCGCGCGAGAGCGCAAGGAAGAGAGAGAGAGAGAGAGGTGGCGTAGCGCTGAAAATTCGCTCGGCAAAGCGCCACCCGCGCCAGTAAGCCCGGCGCCGTGCAGTCGACCACTAGTTTCGATTGTTCTTTTTCGTTTTACGATTGTTGCAGCCCCGTGTTCTGTCATATAACAATCATATACCGCGCGACGCGCACTTCTTGAATAGAAAATTCTCGGGTTTTTTTCTTCCTTTTTTTCAATAGTTAGTGGGTTTTTTCTTTTTTCTTTTCTTTTTTTTTTTTTTTACGTGTAATTTAAATTGTAAATACTCAGTGAAACTATCGACTGGTCTGCCGGTGTTTTGTGTCGCTGTTTTTTGTGCATTGTATATAGTATTGGCACTTATGCAAAGCAACGCGACTTAATTCACTCTTTATCTGGTGGCACGGAGGTTTTTTTTTTTTTTTTTTCGACACGTAAATCACCGGCTCGCTCCCTCTCTCTTTCTCACAAAATCAGGATTTAGTATACTTTTATTCAGCAGATTACGAAAGGTATACTAAAATACAGTACAAATCCTGCGTACACGAGTCTCAAAATTTACGCTCCTTTTGTTGTGCCATTATTGTTTTTTTTTTTTTTTTTTTCTTTTTTCTATATTAAACATGAAAATATTTACTCGTGTTATTTCGATACAAGTACGCCAATTAATGTTCAACGGGAAAGCCTGGGCTAAGCTAGACACAAAAATCGTATACGAGATTGCACGTCTCGTCCCGAAAATTCTTCCTAAATCCCGGCTTGTCACGAAAAATCCCTTAATCTTCGAAATGACCGCGGGATTTCCCGAATTAAATTTCGTACCGTTCCAAAAAAAAAAGAAATTGTTTTCCTCAATAAATATATAACGTTGTTACACGATGTCGATCGTTTCAACGATCAAATGAGTTACGCGGAATGTCAAAAAAAAAAAAAATTGAAAAAGTTTCGCGATTTTCGAGGCAAAGGTGTAGGAGGGAGGGGAGGATTTCCATTTAATCCCGTCGCGGCTTACCCCGGGCACAGGCCGTAAATCGGATTTGACGGTCCGTCGAGGTTCATTAGCCGTTGGCTAATATTTATTGCTCATTTTCGCAAATAATGGCCAAACCGAGGTAATACACATAGGGCACTTGTCGGGCCGATCGGGTCCAATTTGTCGTTTGTCCAGCTACACGCGTGCTTTTGTTTCTTTCGCCGATTTTGGCTTGTCGAGTATCATTGGAACAGCAACGGTACAGCAACCACAAAGTGACGTTGACGTGCTTTTAGCTCGCTAACTTGCATTTCGATTCGTGGGTGTGAATACGTATATGTATACATTGTATAAAAATCAACCCATAAGCAATAAAACTCGCAAAAACACACCCGTAATAGTAAGCATCGGAGGGAAATTATACATATATATTGTAGCTCCGGTTGATCTTTGCTGTTGTTGTCGCCGGGTAACATCTGCTTGACCGAAATAGTACCGAGACATCACTGATGGTAAACTCAAATACACACGCTCGAGTTCAGATATATCTAGCGTGTACGTGGTCATACACGATTGGTCACCGAGTCACTTTTTTAAAAATTGCTCGCAGCTGCCCCATCACGCCGTTCGCCTTTGATTTTAAAAATAGTTCCTGTACAGGGTCGCGAAGCAATTATACGCGCGTAATCACGGCCGATACACGTACACGAGCTGCAACGGTGATAATGAAACGAGAATAATTGTTCATCAAAAGCCTTGGGAAATCATGATGATTGAAAATTCAATCGCACGAGCGGTGACCGGGTAAATTAGTTTCGGCGTTAAAACCCCATTTACCGAAACTCCAATGTCATCAAACAACTGCGTTGCACCATCACACAAAGCGCGACGATCAACTAGTGTATATACATCTACGTATATAGGCCAGCTGCTGTTGTCAGGTTTTCCCAGTATACATAACAAGAGGACAGCTCTCATAAAAGCGCGGCCAACAGCTGTTTTCGCTCTCGGCTCTTCGCTTCCACTTCTCCTTCATTGTCCTTCATTGTATTCGCGTACGGATATATAATAATAATAATAATAATAATAGTGCGTATGGGTGCGGTGAAGGGAGCAAATTGTACGTGGTTAATTACACCGCGAGTATTAATTGCGCGTACTTGGAGTGTAAAGTTATACTAGCGAGTAAGCGGTGGATGGAAAAAGAGAGGAAGCGGTATCGGTATCGGCCTATAGGCGTTTAAAAAAAAAAAAAAAAAATTGCCCGTGTACGTACGTGACGCGTGTACAGTACATGAGCCATCGGCGAGCCGAGGGGGATGAGGGTTTCCCGCGCCAATGAGGCTCGTCGAGTGGAGCTTCCTGGTGGTGCTGCTGCGCTCGCCACCGCAGGGCCGCACCGAGGCAGCCCCACCGGGAGGCGTCAACGACCGCGTGGTCAACCTGGCGGTGATAGCCCCCGCCGAGCCCGGCCTCCACGAGCAAAGCCTACCCAAGATCCTCCCCGCGGTACTACTAGCCGCGAGGCACGTCAGCTCCGCTCGGGGTCCCCTGCCTGGCTGGCGCATCGAGCTCGACCACCGGGACTCGCAGTGCTCGAGCACCCACGGGCCCCTCGCCGCCTTTGACTTTCACAACAACAACTCCGCAGGTATACATCGCCACGTAATACAAGACAATACGTATGTCCATCCATCTGATTGATATTTTTTTTTTTTTTTGTCTTTCAACTGGGAACGAGTAGACGTGTTTCTGGGGCCCGTGTGCGAGGTGAGAAAATCGAGAAAGCTTTGGATGTAAAAATGAAAAGAAAAAAAAAGGGGGGGGTGGGTGTGTGTGTGGTAAAAACTGACGGGAAGCGTTGCGTTGTAGTACGTGCTGGCTCCGGTGGCCCGTTACGCGGGCGTCTGGGGTATACCGGTGTTGACGGCGGGCGGCCAAGCTGACGCCTTTCGTCACAAGCGCGAGCACTACCCGACCTTGACGCGGATGATGGGCTCGCACAGGCTGGTCGGTGAGGCGTTGCGCTTCATATTGCGGGGCTTCGGGTGGAAGGTGGCGGCCCTACTGTTTCACAATCACGCCCTCGCCAGCAGCCGGGGCAACTCGCGCTGCCACTTTACCCTCGGGGCCGTTTACACGGCCCTCAACCAGACATCCGCCTACAAGAGCTTCAACCAGGAGATCGCCACCCCGAGGGACTACAGGGACCTACTCACTTTCGTCGCCAAGTCCGCGAGAAGTATATTCATACATATATTATGTGCTTCATACTCTCTTGTACTTTTATATACATATACAGTAATCGTTAATGGGATTCAATGTATACAAGTGCACATTATGTATATTTTTGAGCCAAATGTTTTATCTATAATTATATATCACACGCGTTTCCAACAAAGCGAATATGGTCGTTTATTCGACAGTCAATGTCGACAACGCATTACATGTGAAGGCAAATTGCTTTTTTTTTTTTTTTTAATTCATGAATAAACCTGATATAGCTATGCGTCAAAGCTATGTCGTTATCATATGGCTTCCAAACTATGCACTGGTCAAAACAGACTCCCTCTCTCCCTTCCCCCCGTTTTGCCGCGACAAAGGTGTACATATAGCTCTCCAAACCTCAGTTATTCTCATTGCGAAGCTTTACGCGCTATACATGCGCTACGCATACCGAGTCCAATTTGTATATACTAGCGTTCGCAACAATAAACGTTTGTACATAGGGCGCGTTATTGGTGTAAACGAATGAGCTTTACCGTGTACAAATTAAAACTCATTGTACGTGCCTCACGAGGGGGTGTTTACTTCAATGACCATGAAACTATACGCACGAGTCACGCCTAATTAAATAACTATAGTGTGCACAATTTAACGTTTACAATCGTTGCTCGCAAAACTAATATGTGAATACATACATTATTTCCCGTGTACGAGAAAAGCAAGTTTATCGCTTGTAGTTTTGCACCACCACCACCACCACCCTTTTGCGTAGGTATATGGTGTACCAAGTTTGAGCATCGGTAAGCTTGGTTTCACGAAAAAAAAGAAAAAAAATTTCATCTGGGGTATCCAGAGTCGTGTCGAGGTGTGGTAACGCTATTATGGCGTGTATCGGTTTTTTATTATCATGAAAATTGAACGATACAGTAGGTTTGTAGGTCCTTTCCACGACGTGAAAAAAAAAAAAAAAAAAAAAAAAAAAAAAAAAAATTTAATTTATCGATCAAACGTCACTTTAATAAATGTCGTTTTCTTATAAAATTATTTTTCTTATAACGTATACGAACGCAGTCGTCGTTATGTGCGCCAACTCGACGACTATACGAGAGATACTCCTCGCAGCCAAGGAACTGGGGATGGTGGATTCCGGGGAGTACGTGTTCTTCTCCATCGAACTGACGAGCAGGTAAACAAAAGCCAACGTTGCAACTAATCGCACCCTCGTAGGTATATAATATACATATATATATATTTTTTTTTTTACACACCACTTCGCCTCTTCTTTTTTTTCTTTTCCACCTCTATTTCATGAAGTAACGGCAAATGCGAGATAAATGTAAAACAAATACATACACATTCCTGTGCATGCATATATTATATCCGATGGTTTGTGGGAAACGGGGCCGGGTAATCGTGTCAATTGGCTGCGATGATCGAATCGATATTTATGTGCATGTCCGTCAATCCACGGGAATTCGCAATAACTGCCGCGCGCACCACAATCGCGTCAATGTAACTCGATGGTTGTTGCATGGACGAGCAGCGAGCGAAACATGGAGGAGCCGTGGCGAGTCGAGGGCGACTCGGCCGAGCGCAACGAGGAGGCCCGCAAGGCTTACGAGGCCCTGTTGACGGTGACCACCCGTACCCCGGACAACCCCGAGTACCACGAGTTCTCCCTCAAGGTCAAGGAACTCGCCACCTCCAAGTACAACTTTCACTTTGGCAACACCTCGGTGTCCACCTTCGTCACGGCCTTTTACGACGCTGTGCTACTTTACGCCCTCGCCCTCCGCGAGAGCCTGCCCGACCGGCCCGGCGGCAACCTCAGCCTCGACGGCGCCAACCTCACTCGGCGCATGTGGGCTCGCAGCTTCAAAGGTTCCTTTCTTTCTTTCTTTCTTTCTTTCTTTCTTTCTTTTTCTTTTTCATTCATTCATTCATTCGTTCGTTTTTTTGGTACACATTCTCGTATCGTCTCCCTTGGGCCAGGTATCACGGGGGACGTCAACATCGATGAGAACGGCGACCGTATAGCCGACTACTCGTTGCTCGACATGAACCCCAACACCTCCAAATTCGAGGTGCGTATACATCGCGTGCGTGTGTACTTTGGTGTATTATTTAGAGGTGATGTCGATGTATGGTGTGCTTTGGCCGACAGATCGTGGCCAATTACTACGGGGCCAACAAGACTTTGGAGTACGTGCCGGGCAAGAGGATACACTGGTCGGGCCATCGGCTCGAGCCACCGCCCGACACGCCTACGTGCGGCTTCGACGGCTCCTTGTGCCCCGACAATTGTAACCTTTTTTTATTATTTTTTATTTTTAAACAAGTACAAATATACATATATTATACTTGAAAGTGTTAATCGTCACAAACGGCAAATTGTTCCAGCTCTGCCGGGCTACGCGATCCTCTCGATCATACTCAGCTCGATCGTCATGTTCCTCATCATCGTCTCGCTCTTTATATACAGGTGAGTGTTGTTTCTTTTGATGTAAGTATAGCTTTGGGTGGGTGGGTTTAAATAATGTGGGCTTATTGTCGGTAGGCACTACAAGTTGGAGGCGGAAATAGCCTCGATGACTTGGAAGGTCCACTGGGAGGATGTGATTCTGATGCCGAGCGAGAGGTTCAAGGCCGGCTCGATATACTCCCTGGCCACGGCTAGGCAACGGGGCAGCCAGTTGGTGAGCTATTAATTACGCGTGACGCGTGATAATTAAATCCGTCCCTCGACGGTGTGTATACATATATATATTTGCACGAGTATATATACATATATGGATTTCTTCCGTTGTAGACCATTTTTTCCGAGGACAACGTGAGCTTTGCCGGAGGCGTGGACAAACAGTCCTTTGTACCCACGGGGATATACAAGGTGAGAATACATTTATTCGTGATGGAGTGTAAGAAAAAATGATCAAACTCTTTTCTTTTTTTTTTTTTTTTTTTCAACCCTACACCCGCAGAATTCCAAAGTTGCCATAAGGTCCATTCCCAGGAAGAAAATCGAAATCTCGCGACCCCTGCTCTTGGAGTTAAAGAGGGTGAGTATATACGTGTTTTTCTCGAACCAAAATATAATTAATACGCCGTGGAAAAGAAAAAGGAAAAAAAAAAACAAAAAAAAAAATATGCATCAATGTACATACGTGGTGAAAACGATGTCGCAGATGAAGGACCTGCAGCACGACCATTTGGTGAGATTTTACGGTGCCTGCGTCGAGCCGCCGCACTGCTGCTTACTCACCGAGTACTGTCCCAGGGGCTCGCTGCAGGTTAGTTGAGTAAACAAAAAAACAAAAAAATATATATGTTTACATAAATGTACTATACGTGAGAATTGAAAAAACGGTTGTTGCTGTTTTTCGCTCAGGACATCCTCGAAAACGACCAGATGAAGCTCGACGGGGTCTTCCGGATATCCCTGGTAAAAACCTCTTGTACCCATAATGTATACGTTTGCTATTCGATATATTGTACGGGAATGAGAAAATAGAGCCGTGACAACAGATAAACGACGTGGTGCGGGGCATGAGCTACCTGCACTGTTCGGAGATACGTAGCCACGGCAACCTCAAGTCGACGAATTGCCTCGTGGATTCGCGATTCGTCCTCAAGATCGCGGATTTCGGGCTCCACGAGCTCCGGGGACCGGCACGTCCCTTCGAGCCGGACTCGGACGAGGACAGCAACACCTACGCCTACTGGAGAAGTGAGTTTGTTTTTTTTTTTTTTTTTTTTTCATACCAAAATACATGTAGGTATTACAAACGAAATGATACTCGGAAACGCGTGTAGAACAGCTGTGGACGGCTCCCGAGTTGTTGAGGATGGCCAACAGGCCGGCCGAGGGGACGCAGAGGGCCGACGTGTACAGCTTCGCGATAATCGTCCACGAGATCGAGGTGCGCCAGGGACTCTTTTACCTCGGCAACGGCGTCAACATGTCCCCGAGGGGTAAGTGTATATTGTTTTTTTTTTTTTTATTTTTTTTTTTTTACCATATCTATACTCTTTTAAGATATCTCCCTCCCCCCCTCTCCCATTGTTGCCACTGTTGTTGCACGTGTTTCGCCAAAAAGGGTAACTTTATAGAAAAGCGCGGTCGAAAGTAGAGAGGTTGCGACGATAACGTGACGGGGGGAAGAAACGGGATCGGTGCAAATACCTTCCTTGCCGACCCGAGGGAAGCTGAGAACACTGCGATGAATGCCTACACCCTCCCGTTGGCGCTGTGTGCTCCGTAATACGCCTACAGAGGAGGGGTTGGCAAAAATCGATTTCACCCCCTTGGAGTATAGAGAGCGGGTGGGTGCTCGGGACTTCAGTCGGCTCGTGTACGTGCGCCAGCCGGGGCGTGAAAGCTCACCTCGGAGCTGTTTTGCGTGACCGTAACTTTGACCGAGCCGATTGAAATCGAGACGCGTGTGATTTTTTTTTTGTTTTTTGTTTTTTGTTTTTTTTTTAATATTGTTTTCTTGGTCTATTTTTCTTTTCCCCACACCGCGTCGCTTTTGTTTCATTTTTTTTTTTAATTTTTTTTTTCCCCCCAGTCAGTAAGTATATATACCTATATACACCGAGTGTCCTGTCGCGTAAGCCGTTGTCCGACCGAACGTTGACTCGTGCCACTTGCTCCTCCCCCTGAATCTCTTACGTGTCGCGTATAAGTGTGCATACACTGGTAGGCTATACACATATTCGTGTGCACACGCTCATCATCCCTTTTGAAAATACTTTGCCCTTTTGCTCCCTCCTCAGGGTGGTTCAAGGTAAATCGCCAATCCGGTGACGAATTAAATTAAATTGGATTTTCACGCCCTTTTTTTTTTTTTTTTTTCTTCTCGAGTTTATATCGTGTGTCTCTCTGCACAATCTCCGTGGGATTTAATTACATATAAAAAAACATGGTGAAGGGTGTTTATTTCGTTTATACATTTTACTCGTTGACGAAAAAAAAAATATATATATATATATAACGAAAAGTCAGGAATCCAACGGTATTCGATATCGATGACAACTATGGGAGAGAGAAAAAAATATATGGTTATGGGGTGTGGAGGGGGAATAAAACAGGAAGGCGGTGAGAGGTACGGAAATGTTTGGGGGAGGAAAGAGGGACGTGTATTAAAGTACGATAGAATCATCGGCGGATGCTGATACGGAAGATTAGGGGCAACGAGTTTGGTATGTGATGTATGTGTATATACATGATCGATCGGAACGCGGGAGCCGGGGAGTCTTTTTCTTCAGCTTCCGGCGGCGACGCTCCGGAAAAAGCCGAGACCGGTGCGAAAAAGAAAAAAAAAAAAAAAAAAAAATAGGTGCGTAGGACGCGAGCCATCAGTGTTTCCGGTGTGTGTATCGATTCGCTCGAGAGGTGACGGAGGCTGCAGGGAAGCGGGAGAGAGAGAGAGAGACAATGGTACCCATCGGGCGCGAGAAAAGAAAGATATTATTCTTGCGCTTATGCAATGTGGGTCACCGTCGGGTGTACCGTCATGCCCCATTGTCGGTTGAATCTGTGTGTGTGTGTTGATGTATAAATCTATACAGCAGCGTACGGCGGAAGGGAAAAAACTCCCTGTCACGTAGCATTGTTGTTTTCTCGATCGCTTTTTCTCTGCCCTCTCTCCTTCATGATTCATCCTAACGAGCCGATGATGCTGTTGTTTCTTACATAAAGGATGCCTTTCTTAGTTTTATTGGAAAATAGATTATCAAAGGGTGGGTCATCTCGGCTTATTCAAATTGATCATTATTCGTTACTTTTGAAAGACAATATACGATACACAAAGTTGACACGAAATGTGGCACATCCTCGAAACCTCTAATTTCGCCTGGCCAATCATGGCTTGCTCCGCTGAACAAGTTTTATTTTCATTTTGAAAATCGATACGCACGGGTGAATGGCATCATAAAAAAAAAAAAAAAAAAACAAAAAAAAAAACAACAGCTCGAAAATATCCAGATTCCATTATCGGATCACAAGTTACAACAACCAATTACTTTTTTCACAACACCATTATTCTGTATTATTCATCCGGAGTGCCCGTAACTTACGATCCGATAAACGTTTTCGATACTTTTTTTCTGAGCTTTTGATCGCTTCGTGAACTAGTTACGACTCCAATTTTTAAAAAAATAGACTGTATGTAGTGTCGCCAGTCACTGTTGCTTGTACATGACGAGAGGGAAAAAAAAAAAAAGAATTGTACCACAGAGCAAACGGGGATTGGCCAGGAGTTTTGGGTAGAAAAATCCCGAGTTTTCGCGCCTACGTGAGATACAGAACAAAGAATCTTTGGTGGCAATAAACACAGCTAAATACGATCTTGGCCCCATCGCGCAAAGCCAAAAACGCCCTTGGAAGGAGGGAGCAAAAGACCATACACATGAGTTGGGGTGAAAAAACCGTGGAGTAAAAAAAGAAAAAAAAAAAAAAAAAAGTCCAATCAAGCGCCAAAAGAGGAAGGACACAATGGGCGAGAGAAGCAGCAACGCGTCGAGCACGAGCAGCCTGGCATTGCCGACTATACCAGGAGCCAGCCCCGACGGGGGTACCAGTCCTCGGCGCGCCGTCAGTCCCTTGCTCGAGGTCCGCAGGCCCCACTGCACCCTCAACTGCGACCACTGCAGTACCTACCTCGAGGATCTTTACAAGCACAGTACGTCGGTGGCACCTTTTTCCCCCCCCCCCTCGTGACCCTTTGAATGTGCACGTCGCAACAGTGGCAATGACAACAATGACAAAAAGACCCTACATTATTTCTTTTATCCAACCATTCACTTTCGCAGAGATCATCGAAGGGGTGAGACGAGGCGGCGGATCTCCTCTGAGGCCCTTTGTCGACGACACCTCCGTCGACGAAGAAGTAACGTTACACATATACTGGAGTTTAGCAAATCTCCAATTGGCGATCAAACGGTGCAAATAAAACATTGTCGTTGTTGTTTGTTTTTGTTTCTCGGCTGGTGCAGATGGCGTCGCTGATGGACAGATGCTGGGCCGAGGATCCGGCTGGCCGGCCCGATTTCACGAACCTCAAGGAAATCGTTCGGAAAATCAACAAGTATATAAAGCGATGTACGGGAGGTAATGCAAACGCCACCTCGAATTGTGTATTGTTCGCAGGGACGGCCGGATAGACAACATCCTGGACAACTTGTTGTCGCGGATGGAGCACTACGCGGACAATTTGGAGAACCTGGTGGCCGAGCGCACTGCCGATTACCTCGAGGAGAAGCGCAAGTGCGAGGAACTCCTCTATCAGTTGCTGCCCAAGTGAGCCTCCCTTTATTTCATCCCTTTGGGGTGATTCCTCGAACAAAAAGGACGAAATTTTCGTTGCAGGTCCGTGGCGTCGCAGTTGATCGTGGGTCGGAGCCTGATCGCCGAGACCTACGACCAGGTGACCATATACTTCAGCGACATTGTCGGCTTCACGAGCCTCTCGGCCGAAAGCACGCCCCTCCAGGTGGTTGATCTGCTCAACGATCTGTACACGTGTTTCGACTCGATCATCGGGAACTTTGACGTGTACAAGGTAGGCCAATGACCCCCCATTTTATACCCGGTGATGATGCATCGTAGGAAATTGTCGTTGGTTTAGGTGGAGACGATAGGGGACGCTTACATGGTGGTTTCGGGGCTGCCGGTGAGGAACGGGACCAACCACGCCCGGGAGATAGCCAGGATGAGCTTGGCTCTGCGGGACACGGTCATGACCTTCCGCATCAGGCACAGGCCGAACGAGCAGCTCAAACTGCGGATCGGCATGCACAGCGGTGGGTGCTTGTATAATTTAACGTTGGAGATGGACAATTTTTAGTTTTTAACGTTGTTTCGTTGTAGGTCCATGCGTCGCTGGAGTCGTGGGCTTGAAGATGCCCAGGTACTGCCTGTTCGGGGACACGGTCAACACGGCCTCGAGGATGGAAAGCAACGGCCAAGGTGAGTCCGTGGACTTTAGATACCGATCCTCTTGATTATTATTATTTTTTTATTTTTTTTTTTTTTCACTCCTTTCGTTTGGTCACTTTTACGTCGTAATAATATACATCATCACGCATACGCGAACGAGTATACTTNCAGTTGCCTTTTTCTTGGTAGTTGGATCCTTTTGTTAGGTGCTCGAGAAAAAGTCTCGGCTTTTGTGTGTCGAGCATAATATATATATATATATACTTTTCTCCGTAAAATAAACATTTCATCCATTTTCCCATCTTTTTTCATCATTTCCAAGTGACATTGTCACTTCAACGTGCAGGTATTGTTCTAATGTTTGATTGCATACTCCCGACTCACCCACAAAAATGGACTAAAGTGTTTTTTGGAGTTAAATCGAAGAGTTGTTAGTTCTACTTGTATGGCCTTGGGTGAACTACAACCTTCCTATCTGTACGTTCAGCCAAAGGAGATTTTTTCGTGTGACAAGGCCATGCTTATACACTTTGTGCTTCGCGCAAAAGGGGAGCGAGCCATAATAGTCATGCATCAGCTACGTACCCATGTAATGTGAAATCCAAATAATGTTCATAACAATAATCTTTTGTCTAGACTATTGTAAAATTTTTATGCTACTTTTTCACTCGCAATTTTCTTCGTGTATTATCAAAATTAGCGTCGTTCCTCTGCATCGTCCCTCCTTTTGTCGTCATTTATTGCACTTCTTTGTAACGATATCTACAATTAGATGCAAACGTAAGATCAATAACACGGTTTTGTGGAATAATTTCCTTGATTTAGCTAAAACGTGGATGAAAAATATGACGAGTAATTTTACAGCACTCGTGAAACTTATTTCTTGTATATTATAGCGTAATATGAATATTTCAAGTATTGGCAGCTTTTTTTTTTCTTTTTTTTTCTAAATGACTAAGCACGTATTTTTCAAGATAATCTTTAAAAAACGATTTGATGAATTAAAGCAATGTCAAAACAACAAAGATGATCCATCCAGATTACCAAGAACCTTTTCATTTCACAGAGTTTCTCTCGAGCTCGTTTTCCAAAATCATGTTCCAATATGTACTCCATTTGTGTCGTAAAAATCAAAATATGCGCAAGAGAGCAATGAGAAAATAAAAAATATATTACAACCTGTCCGAATTACAAGTGTATTCAGGCGCATTTTTTTTAATGATTTTCTTTGTATCGCTGTTTACAAATTTTTTAGCATTTTAATACGAGCATAAGCATGCGAAGGAGAAACGTTTTTAAATACTTGATACTTGTGTTAAATAATGTATAAGAAACGTAAATATTGCGAAACCAACGCAAAGATGACCAATTAATAATAATTTTTTAGTTTATCAAAAGAGTTGAGTAATTGAAAGATGAACAAATTTAAACGAAGTAACAAAACTTTTTAATATGATCGATTTGTTGATTTTTATTAAATGTTGGATTTTATCGAACAGCTGAACGAATACTGTAAATAATTTGTTAATTGTTACGTGGATTATTTATGTCAGTAAAGTTGCAAAAATGTATGATAATTTATTGATCTGTTAATTGTGGTTCCGACATTATTAAATATTTTGTTCCAGTTGGTAATTTTTTATGTGTTTTCAAAAAACAGAAGGAAAACACATTTAAAAAAAAGTTTATCAAGTGTAAATAAATAAGCGCATGGAGATTACTCGTAAAAATATATTTAAAAATTAATTATTGTACTTGATACGTGTATATTTTATTGTGTGCACTTTGAGTGTAATACGCACGCGTGAATGTTTTATTCGGTTGATAAAAGGTTCAATTATTCGTAGATTGCTGATAATAGTATCGTTACCATGAAAAAGTACATGTTTACATTATAGATGAATTTTACAAATAAACAAATAAAAAGTTTAGAGCTAATATTAAATGTAAGAAGTGTATATACTATTGAGCACGAGGATGAAAAAATACAATTTTTCTTTGTCGTTTGAAATGTATTCGAATTTTTTAGCCATTTTTACGATTGTTCGATGGATAATGACACTGAAAAAGAAAAATAATAATTTTACGCTAACACAATTAATGTAATAAAATTGATGTTGATGTGTTAAACGTTCTCTGTTGTTATCGATCTTAATCGTTGTGTCGCAAAAGTCTTTGTTATTAGTGTTCATGTCTCGTCATTTACTTCTTTATTTAAAGTACAGCGGAAGCGATCCCTTATTTTACGTTTTGTTAGTTTGTAAGCGATTTAAGCTAAACTTTAAATTTCCTATTATTGTTATTTAAAATGCATTTGTTGTACGATATTTTGCGCTAGATTTCTTTGTTTATTTAAAAATTTCAATTGTATTTATTGTAAGCTTTTTGTATTAAAATTAAATTATATCAAAATACTGGAGTACATACGTGGTGAAAACGATGTCGCAGATGAAGGACCTGCAGCACGACCATTTGGTGAGATTTTACGGTGCCTGCGTCGAGCCGCCGCACTGCTGCTTACTCACCGAGTACTGTCCCAGGGGCTCGCTGCAGGTTAGTTGAGTAAACAAAAAAACAAAAAAATATATATGTTTACATAAATGTACTATACGTGAGAATTGAAAAAACGGTTGTTGCTGTTTTTCGCTCAGGACATCCTCGAAAACGACCAGATGAAGCTCGACGGGGTCTTCCGGATATCCCTGGTAAAAACCTCTTGTACCCATAATGTATACGTTTGCTATTCGATATATTGTACGGGAATGAGAAAATAGAGCCGTGACAACAGATAAACGACGTGGTGCGGGGCATGAGCTACCTGCACTGTTCGGAGATACGTAGCCACGGCAACCTCAAGTCGACGAATTGCCTCGTGGATTCGCGATTCGTCCTCAAGATCGCGGATTTCGGGCTCCACGAGCTCCGGGGACCGGCACGTCCCTTCGAGCCGGACTCGGACGAGGACAGCAACACCTACGCCTACTGGAGAAGTGAGTTTGTTTTTTTTTTTTTTTTTTTTTTTTTTTTTTTTTTTTTTTTTTTTTTTTTTTTTTTNTTGGTACTGTATACGTCAGGGGTGGAGTACCTGCGGGGAAATATAATAACACAGGAAAAAAAAGACCGCACGAGACCACGGACTAAAGTTACGTGGATCGAGTCAACCAGAGTAAAGAAGAAAAAAAAATTAAACTACCCACATCTTGCGCAATGAGAAACACACTATATGGTACTTTGATTAAACGAAAAATAAAACAAAAAAAAACAGTCAACAAAAGACGAGGTATGCGTTGGATAAACTATTTCTTTGATCAAACGACTGACTCACTCGGCGATTACTAATCGCACTATGCGGGTATATCCGTAATACTTACCTGTGTTAATCTTATATATACTTGTGTAGCTGCGAAGTTGGTATAGAAAGAAATCAGCCATCGCCGATCGGTATCGCTTCCAGGTACTTACGGCCAACGAGGTAAAGATCGAAAAATCGGCGGAAAAGAAATATTATCAAACGGATCGGATTAATTTTGAAAACGACGTGAGTATGAGACATTTCGGTGCGCACCTACATACATGATTCATGATGCGTACAATACGCGCTTACATATATTACAGTCCCCGAGGCCTCGGACACGTGTGGGTAACTCGAAAAAAAAAAAAAAAAAAAAAAATCCATCTCACCTGGCAAGCGTCGCCGTTCCCGGTGTAAACTGCCGCGCACAGGTTCTTGTCGCTTATCTCCTGGGTGAATTTGTCGACGCACTCGCTGAGCGGCCAAATCGGCACTTTCACCTCGAGCAGCACGTAACTGGTCGCGCCTCCGAACGACGTGGTGCCCCAGCCTGAAAAGCGCACCGAAAAATCATTATCTAAAAGCAACGAGTGACAATAAAAAATCATACCGATGACGGTGGCCTGTTTATTCTCGAAATTAGCGCCGACCGGGGGTAGACAGACCGGCCATATGTAGGTGTTGAAAACCGTGGGCCGGTGTACCTTGACGATGGCTATGTCGTTCCGGTAAGTCGACGGCACGTACCCGTTGTGTATCCGAATCTCCACGACTTTGAAGTCCAGGGCCCGCGTCTCGTTCGGGTACCTCAGGTCGTACTCGCCCAGCCGGATCGTCAATTCTCGGGGCTTCCGCCTGTACGCAATGCACGTGAATATATTTCACCCGCACCGGCGTCACGAGAGAAAAAAAAAAAAAAAAAAAAAAAGGGACGGATATACCGATCGTCCCTTTTTTTGTTCCTCCCCAAGTCGGAATCGTTCAAACAGTTTACCGATGGACGCAGTGGGCGGCGGTGAGTACGTGGCGATCGGTAATGAGGACCCCACCGCAGTACTGCTCGCCGTGACTGAGGATGGCCACGATCCAGGGAAAGTCGCGCGTACTCGTTGGCCGACCCCCGGTCACGCGGGACGCCTCCACCGCGCTGATTCCGCAGCCCCGGCTTCTTGCACGCGAGCCCCTCTGGGGTTCGGTTTTTGGCTGCTCGTCCACCTCGCCTGGTTGTCCGACCCCGGGGTATCAATTTTATTCGAAGGGAAATTCGTTTTAGTTGAAGAAAAATCCTATTTCATTCTTTTTACCCGAAATTATGAGGCAAAAAAAAAGGTAGTCGTCTTGTGTCAACTGTTAGTTTTATCGGTTATTATACGCCAGATCTTCCCGTATGTTTTTTTTTTTTTTATAATTATAATGATTAAGTCGTTAAACGATGCAATTTTGTATGATATACAAAGTGTTGCTCAATGAGATTACTCAAACTGTCGAGGAAGGGAGGATGCGCGTGATAAGACACGAGCGTTGTTGATACTAACTCAGGAAACGAAGCGGGCTACGGTTATTATTTTTGTGCTTTATCGTTTTGTTAAGTGGTATCTTGTCCTAATATCCATAAATTTGATAAAAAGTGTGGTTGATCTTTTTTTTTTCCTCACTTACTTTTCAAGCGAAAAAATGCTTTTGACAAGCAAAAATTGTATAACATGAGCCTTTTTTTGTCACCAAAGTTGGAGGGAATAGGAATAAGTATCGGTAACAATGGCTTACTTGCTATGGCAGGTAGCTCACCGGCCACTCCCCCAAAGGGCAGCACCTCGTTGTGAGCGTCGCTCGACTCGGACGCATCATCCGGACAGCAGACACCTACAAACCTTTAAGGGAAAAAGTAAACCATACAGACGCGCGTGTAAATCGGCACTCACTCTTTCTCGATGACGCATAGATTCTCCATGAGTCGCGGTAGATTTAACCGGTAGTTTGCGTCGCCGCAGCTGGACAGATGCTTGCAGTGGCCGGGTTTGCTGCCCGGAGCTATGCATGCCTGGTACTGTTTGTTTATCTAGAGAGAGAGAAAAAAAAAAAAAAAAAAAAAAAAAACGAACAGATCGGTACGATCGAACGGTGCAATGGTTGGGTTTAAAAGTGTGCAAATTACGGCGGGCTTGATTTTTTCCGGCACGACGAAGCGCTTGCTCCGAACGACGCTCTCGGCGGCCTTTGTCCTCGAACGGAGCGACGATGCTGCTTCGGGAACTGAAAAAATAAAAAAAAATAATAAAAGCAGACTGCCATCATCGAAGGTATCGGGCCCGCGCTTATTTTTCGAATGCCCGTGGGGCGCATTTGCAATTCAATTTTTATTCGGCCTTGCCCACGATGGAGCGGCATTTTGTTTACTCGAGGATAAAAATCTCTTTTTTTCTTTTTGGAAAAAAAATATCAACGAGTCAGAGATTGTTTCACTTGCACCTTTTATATCATGGATGTAGTTAAAAATTTTACTCGATTATTGTTTGCGTGAATTTTCTTGGGATTCGCGTACGAAAGGGTAAATTATACAAATCGAGTTGAATATCACACTATTCTTCGTATGGTCCTGCTTCGTGATAAAACTTTGATGTTGTTTTTTTTTTTTTTTTCCTTTCAAACGGACCCACTCGATCGGTTTGACGTTGTTACCGAACTTTTCGGGCGTCGACGGTTATATTCGATATCCCTGATGAATATGTATGAAAACATGTTTTCTACCGCTCGTTAATTACGTGATCTATGACGTATGGCGGGGAAAAAAGGGAATTCCTATACCGATTATCCTCCATATACTTGAACGATACTATGCGAAATGCACGTCACACGAGTCGGAGAACACAACAGAGAAAAAGAGAGAGAGAAAGTCGCTCTCTTTCCAAACGCTCCGCGTGACATGGCCGTTACAAGACTTTCCCGAGTTCGGGGTAATCGATCGGTAATCTTACAAATGCACGCGATGAAAAAAAGAAAAAAAAAAAAGAGAAGAGCGAAGAAAGAATCGGTAAAGATACTCACATCCATCGGAGGCTGACTCGGCCGCAGCGATCGAAGCAGCGATGACAAGCAGAGCTCGAAGAAACGGCCCGGAGAAGGGCCTTCGTGGACGCATCGCAATAATCGAGCCGATTTTATACTTGTACAACCAGGGAGGCTCGACTGTGCGCTGCCGATTCCGCGGTCGACAACAGACTGGCCGTACAGTTGATGTACCACGTATATACGTGATTTTACGTCGCGCGAAAGGCGCCAATCTTTCGGAGGATGCGCGCTCTCGATCCTGTTGTGTGTGTGTGTGTGTGTGAAGAAACATCCGCAGCCCCTGACAGGACACGCGTCTCCCTTTGATGCACGTTCGGCTGCGAGTGCCACAGGGGCCGGATACCCGATACACGTAAAGTCACTGTTATCGTTTGCTGTTCGAACTTTACCGATCATTTTCACTCTCAGTGAAATCCAGTTTGAAGGAAATAAAAAAAAAAAAAAAAAAACAACTTGTCGCGAATGTAGGTATAATTTTATTTGTGCCTTTTTTTTAGTAAATGTACATATTATATAGGTGCCTGTAGGTTTCACGGTATGAAAAATCAGCACGGCTGATCGGTTGGAATCGGTGGCGGCTGATGGGTGTCGGTAAGGTTTAGCTCGTAGCTGCGCTCGCGACATCCACTGGCCACACCGTCGTTACCGATCGCGTAGGTTCGCTCCCTACGCAGGAGCTTGCCACCAACGACGCGGCTCTCCTGCTCGACGTAGTTCACCCCGCCGTCCCCGGATGCGTAAGATTGGACGATCCGCGAGCTGGCCCCGTTGCTACCGTTCAAGATGACCAACGGCCCGTTGCTTCTACCCAATGCTGTGAATCCACGGCTGCTTTCATTGGTTTTGTTTGCATCGGTACCTGTTGCGCAGGTACATACGAGTGAGATTGATTTTTTTTTTTTCATTACTATGTATAAGCTATATCACCTGTACCAACAAGCAAGAAAATCGGTATATTCTGGAATTAGAGTAATTAAAAGGAAGAAAGAAAAGTTACCGGTATTACCGTTGACAGCGCGTTCCAGAGTACTGTTTCTGATGGCTTGTTGGGCCAGCGACACCTGGCTGTCCACGATTTCCCGGACCTGCTGGTTGACCTGTCCCACGTGACCTTGAATCTTGTCGTTCAAGTTGTTCACGTCCTTCAAAAAATTGGCCAACCAATTCTCCGGGAACACGTTCTGTCCCCGTCTGCGTTGAAAATGCAGTTATTGTTTTTTGATTTTTTACGTATATACTTTGTATGGTTTCAAATAAATAATAAAAAACGGAAGTAAATTGCAGCTTACGAGGTGCCGCGTGAAAATTTTCATGGATAACGATTTTCTCGGAAAAAGAGGAAGAAGGAAAAAAACCTGTAAATAATAATCTTACGTGTGGAGAAATCCGAAAGAAAGCGAGATCGCGACGACGACGCGGTAAACGGCTAGGCCCATGTTTGAAAACTGTAACAATGATAATAGCACGCGTGGGTATAGAAGTCTAAAAAAAAAAAAAAAAAAAAAAAAAAAAAAAAAAAAAAAAAAAAAAAAAANAAAAAAAAAAAAAAAAAAAAAAAAAAAAAAAAAAAAAAAAAAAATCGGTATACAATATAGAGGTGTACGTATCGCACGTGGAAAGTTGATAAGCCCCGGGAGATATTATCGTGCGGGCTTCGCGAAGCATTTACACACACACACACACGAGCGATAAAAGCTTCGCGTTCGTGTCGCGTCGTCGGGAGAGAAAGAGATAAGCCAGAGGAGATCCCTCGTTGGACTAAAAGTTGCACTCGTGACGCCTGCATCTCTCCTATCTCTCGGGGACCCGCCTCGCATATATATACCTGCGACCGAGTTTTACGAGGAGCATATTATATTACGATGTGCGCCGTACTACACACCGCGCCCACACGTTCGCTGCAGCGCCACGTTCAATATGTATATGATTATAATATGCACGCACTTTCGCATTTTTCACTCGCCAGAACCGACCTTCGCGGTCTATCGTTGTATACATCTATATCGAGTTTGCCATGTTTTTCGATAAGTTTGTTTTTCTTTTTATCCACACCTGATGTTAAAACAGCTTAATACTTTTTTATATTGTCGATAGCCGGTTTTTTCTTTGAAAATATTGAAAAAAAAAAAAAAAAAAAAAATCACACGATCGGTAAGGTTCATCGGGTCGAGCGTGTAAGCGTGAAAAAGGTCCGATGATTTTCGTGATGAGTGTGAAAGATAAGGATTATCGTACATCGGCGTTAAATTACGTATGGGGATCATCATCGAGCATCAGCGTCGCGGAGCAATATATAGGTATAGACCTGAAGACAAACAGAGATAGGTGTATAAGAGTCCGTAGTATGTTGTGTATATAATATGTTTGTGAGGGGGACGTATAAGTATAAGTGTAGCTGTAGCAGCGCCGACAGAACCGGTAACGGAGCCGTACCGAACTGCTTCGAGTTTCTCTCTCCGATCTATTGTGTATATATATCTACATATATCTATATATGGAGTAGAGTAAAGAGTAGAGGTTTCTGGTTGGTCTGGTTGACTGGTAAGTGTGTACATGTGTAGGAAAAGGTACATACAGAAAACCGCTGAGCGACGCTGTCCGTCCGTCCGTTACGTGCCGTACATGACCGATTCCATTAAAAATCGTTTGATGGATGTCGTTCGTAAAATAGATGAAGGTAAAGTTGTTTCCCCAAATGTATACCTCGTCACGAGCGAGTACCAGATTTCCAATTGCCAAAAGTTTACGCAAAATCTGTAAACCGATTTTTTCCCCGATTCCGTTACAACTTTTAATAGCTCGTACCGATTTCCATTTTTTACGCGACGGACAGCTATATAGTTCCTTCTCGCTGCATCCGCACGGCGGTTGTTTTATTTTTTTCCAGGGAATCGCTCGTATACGCGTGTACAATGGGGCTTACATGTATACCGATACCACCGCCACGTTTGGACCGTCAAGAGAAACAGAAGGAGAGGAAGAGAGATAAAAAAAGAAAAGAAAAAGGAGAAAGAATCGAGCCGAGAGTCGTCGACGGGCCTGCATCCAGTTGGTGCACAGTGTTTGGCGTGCTCGGCTCGTAAAAGATAGATCGGCACGAGCATACAAGGTATATACACCTAGAAGATACGCACGCACACATTACCTGATCATAGTTGCGAGCGTCTCTCTCGGTGCAGTGGATCGCCGCCATTCGAGCAGTACTTTGTATATACATTGGACAATCCACCGATGATCCGGTGCACCAGTTGAAATGTGCAAAAACAAAACCATCGAGGGAGAGTGGCGTTCGATTTTTCGTGCGCCAAATTGTCTATGATTGTTCGTGGGTGTAAGAAAAAAAAAAAAAAAAAAAAAAAAAGAACAGATCGGTACGATCGAACGGTGCAATGGTTGGGTTTAAAAGTGTGCAAATTACGGCGGGCTTGATTTTTTCCGGCACGACGAAGCGCTTGCTCCGAACGACGCTCTCGGCGGCCTTTGTCCTCGAACGGAGCGACGATGCTGCTTCGGGAACTGAAAAAATAAAAAAAAATAATAAAAGCAGACTGCCATCATCGAAGGTATCGGGCCCGCGCTTATTTTTCGAATGCCCGTGGGGCGCATTTGCAATTCAATTTTTATTCGGCCTTGCCCACGATGGAGCGGCATTTTGTTTACTCGAGGATAAAAATCTCTTTTTTTCTTTTTGGAAAAAAAATATCAACGAGTCAGAGATTGTTTCACTTGCACCTTTTATATCATGGATGTAGTTAAAAATTTTACTCGATTATTGTTTGCGTGAATTTTCTTGGGATTCGCGTACGAAAGGGTAAATTATACAAATCGAGTTGAATATCACACTATTCTTCGTATG